TTCTAACTCTCCTGAAGTTCATTCTCATGCTTTGCTTCACAGCTTCTTTAGAAAAAGCTTTTTACAGCTCTCTGATGCAATGTTGGTGTTTGGCCTTAAATCCTGTGTCCCCTCAGCTCAATTTAATTCCCATGAAATTGTTGTTCCCTACAGTTTTTTCCGTGGGAAAAAAATTGAGAATCCTCTTGTTTTCATGGACAAACCCATCATTGTGCTCACCCACACACAGAGCAGGGCACAGGCACCCTCTCCCCTTACTTCAGATACCTCTGTATTTATTCACAGTTCCCAGAGGACTGTGAATAGTGAATAAAGTGTTTTTAACAGTGCTAAACTCATCATAAAAATCATATTATCACTAAATTCTCGTGTTCGTTTCTTCTGTGCCTGTTGCAGGAATCTTTTGTAGCCCTATAGGAGAGAAGAATGGGACAGGCTTTTTATAACCTCTGAGTTCTTACCTAAAACTTTCAAGTTAGAGTGTGTAAATAAAAGCAAATCATGTTGATTGGTGGTTTAGAAAATCCTGTTTCCTTTCTGTTACCTGAATCTGAGGAAAGCAGCCTTAAATTTTATTAACCTGTTAAAGGTTAAATAGGAAGGGAGGACACCAAACCCAGTTATTTTTTTCCTGTTAGGAGCCAGTGTACTCTATATTTTGGAAAAATGAAGGCTTTTGTATTAGATTCAGAAGAACTTCTGCTTCCTTTGCTCTGAATTTTTCTGCTGAAGATTGAGAAATCAAAAAGTTTATCTCAAAATATTACAGGTTCCTCTTAAGCTCTCCAACTCCAGAACCCACATTTAAGATGTTTCATCCCTTTTCCATAGTTTTCTGCCAGATTTTTATTGCTTCATTACAGAAAAGCTCCTTAACTCTCAAAGATGAACAAAAACTTTGTGGAGAGGAGATTTCCACAGACTGGAATATTGGTTTTGGGAAACCCCCCCTGCTTGTGCTGTGCCAGGCTCTGGATTTGCTGCCCTGAGCCAGCTCAGGAGCGGGGTTGGGAAACATCAGTGCAGAGCAGAAATAACAAATGCTGGCTGTTTCCTGGGGCTTGTTTCCCTTCAGCAGGTCTGAGCCTGCTGCCCTGGCTCCACCTCAGCTCCCGTTTCCTCACAGCTCTCACGCTTGGGAGGCACCAACACAATTTAAACTCCTTTTCCAGCATTGTCTGTGTGGCTGAGACTTTGGGCTTGGGGCAGGGAATTTCATCCTCAGCTCTCCCAAGTCATTATTTGTTTTCTTCCTTTTTATTTTTTTTTTTCAGGGCTTCTCAACAAGATGTTTGGAGATCTCACATGGCCCCTAGGGAGGGCTTGTGGGGGGAATTGAGTTTTGTGCTTGAGAGCAAAGAAATCCTGCCTGTAACTTCATTCTGCTGTGCAATATTGATTTCACTTGGTCCTTACAGATCTGGAGGGCTTTTTGGGCTTAATTGCCCTTTAAGTGATCTTGGGAATGCCACAGATCAGCCTGGAATGAGGGGAAATTCTGTAGCTAAATGTGTGTGATAGACTGGCTGAGGTAATGAGGTCTCAGAGTCCCAGGCTGGTTTGGGACAGAAGGGACCTTAAACCCCATCCCATCCCATCCCATCCCATCCCATCCCATCCCATCCCATCCCATCCCCGCTTTCCACTGTCCCAGGCTGCTCCAAGCCCCATCCAGCCTGGCCTGGGACATCTCCTGGGATCCAAGGGCAGCCCCAGCTTCTCTGGATAACTTTGGGTACAAAGGTGTTTGTTGTGCATCCTCCCCACCTCTGCAAGGTGGCACAGCAGGAGTTGTGCTTGGAATGCCTAAGGAAAATTATCATTTTAGTTTACACATGCAGTCAGTTCAGTTTGACCTTTAATGTCTTTGTTTCTCCCACATTTCCATCCAGGATTATCTCAAATGTCTTTGTTTTCTTGTACTGGGTGCTTGTAGCACATTGTGTGCTCCAGTTCTGAACCCTCTCAGATTCGGTCTCAACAAAGACATTTAGGAGCAAAATTGTCTTTGAGGTGCAAAATGTGTCCCTGGGCTTGGGAAGTGGCAGCTGGGAGCACAAGGACAACCTCTGGGCCCTCAGAACTCCAAGTTGGTTCTTTTCTTTCCATGGTTGCAGTGTGGTTTTTATTTTAGAAT